CTATCGCTATGTGGTCTATCTGAGTCCAGCGTTGATTTGTTGGTGGAGGTAGCCAGGTTACACAATGTATCTCTTTGTGCATAAAGCTAGTGCTACCTAGAAACAGATGATAATCTGAACAGAATTGTAGAAGACAATCACCGTTGTCGGTTCGTCGGCTACATACTTCTCAGTCTGGCACAACTTCCCTTCTTGAGCATTGAAGTCGCTTGCTAAAACAACTATATCTGAACGTCTTGATTTTTGCAGCAAATTAGACAGTTTCAGGTAGAATTCATCCTTTAGTTCATCCGGACTGCAGTCTGTTGGATTGTAAAGGCAACGACGAGTAACGCACAGTTAGGGATTTGAAATGTGGATTACCATAGCTCCAATGGTTTGAAGAAGTTTGATTCTTACTCTTCTAACAAGATTTCCGCATATTCTGCAGGTGCCTTTGAAGTTGGTTTGATGGTTCACTTAGTGTCCAGAGTCGATCAGATGTTCCAAAAAAACAGCTGCAGAGGATCATATTTTTTTAAATATCTTTTTTGTAAACTAAAGTCAACGACAGTCTGTTCTACAGTCACATTTTACGTGTGCTTCACACATACAAAGCATCCGTTGAAACAAACACAACACATTATAGTGTAACGCATAAATAGTAATAGTTAAGTAAATCCCATTATCTATACACACATAAATCACTAAACTACAGTGTGAATATTCAGCTCACTTTTTACTTTATGTTAAATCTACTAGTGAAACAGGAGTCATGACAGGAAAAACACTTAGTGGAGTCTTACATAAGGTTGAATAATACCACTGAGATTCATATCAATTATAAGATGATTGAGAAAGAAAAAGACTCTATGTATTTCATTTTTAGACGTCCTTATGACCAGAAAAGAGGACGGCACAATAAGAAGAAGTATTTATAGAAAACCTACATCAACGGGCTAGTACACACATTTTCTCAGCTTTGTGCCCTTGAAATAAAAACACAATCTAATAAAGTACTTGGTCCACAGAGCAACAGAGATTTGCTCGGACGAATGTCTTGATGAGGAATTTAACAATATTAAACGGTTGCTAAGTTTGAATGGTTATCCTGAAAAGTTTATTGATAAGAATATGAATCTGAAACCAAAGCAGCCCAAGTTACTAACAGTGCCAAAAAAGGCCCTATTCTTACAGATGCAGTTCCTAGGAGACAACACTAGTGAAATCCTAACATAGTGCCTTAGAAATGCAGTAAAAAGAGCATTCCCTGCTGCTGAATTACGCTGTATCTTTAGAACCACTCCTCTTTTGCTTTCGGGAATAAAAGACAAACTGCCTAATTTCGCCTCTTCCATGTGTATCTACCAATTTAACTGATCCTGTGGAGCCAGTTACATAGGCCGTGCAATTAGGCGTGTTTCTCGTCAAATTTCCGAACATCACTCTTCCTGGTTAAGCAAAGGATAAACAAAATATATTCGTAGACCTATTCTATCTCATCTAGTGGAGACAGAACACAAGATTGACGTTAATCATGCTTTCAGGGTCATTTACCGCATACCTACGAATCTCAATTTTGCTTTAAGAGTTCGACTACTAAATATTGCTGAGGCTGGCAGTTGGGATCCACATTAAGAAGCCTAATTTGTGTGTCCAAAAGGAGTTAGTTCAGACATTATCCTTACCTTGGACATCCAGGTTTGAATAATCCGGAATTTTTGTGGAATTTCCCTTATTTTAGTTGATATTCTATTTGCTACTTACGCTTAAAAGGAATCAGATATTCACAAAGTACAATTACTAGACACCTTGTGGATAGATACGGAGTCATTGCATCGAGATTCCCAAATCCTTCAAAATATTGAATATACAGAGGACAGCAAATTTACTGAAGACTTGCTGAAGCAACTGCAATCAAGCGTTTCAAATCAAACTTACACATACAGAAAGAAAGTATAACCCAGTCTCTCACTGCCTTGGTAACTGCATTTCGACTACACAGTTTAGTTATCCACATTAGTAATTTCAGCTTACTAAGCGAATTTCAATCTTATGAACCGTAACCATTTTGAGCTACTGTGTGAACTTATAAGCTAACACTGTTTATTAGATTTTTCCATCATCTCACTCACTTCCCACCTTTTCTATTTTGAAAGCATAGAAATTGATGGTAACTTAAACTAAAAATTGTATTGCTTACATTTCCGAGGTGTTTATTTTTAAACATTCCCTTTACTACCATTCAAACATTGAATTATGTTATTTTCATTTTTTATAACCAAATGAAAAGTAACAAGTTGGCAGAAGAAGCTTACAGAGAAGATAAAACTTCAGGTGAATATAGAGAAAACAGAGGTGATAAAGATTCCTGGGCAACACCACCGACAGCAGCAACAACAACAGACAACAATCAGCATAAATGGAAGGAACCTGAAAGAAAAAACCTCCTTTACCTACCTGCGAAGCATCGTTTCAACTACAGGCGGAACTGACGAGGATATCAAAGCAGCGAGGATCGGGAAAGCAAGGCAACCTTTCACTTCTCTCAAGTCTGTAGGGAGATCAACAGCACTCAGCATGAGAAATAAGATCCGGACTTTCAACTCCAATGGGAAATCAGTGCTACTATACGGATCAGAGACTTGGCGCGTCATAAAGAGCATCTCAAACAAACTACAGACCTTCACTAACAGTTGTCTTCGCTCAATACTCAAGATCAGATGGCCGGCCAGAAAAAATCAGCAATAGGGACCTGTGGGAGCAAACTAACCAGGAACCGATTGTGAAACAAATAGGCAGGAAGAAATGGAGATGGATTGGCCATACTCTGAGGAAACAATGTATCAAGTGACATCACTAGACAAGCCCTCGGGTGAAACCCGAAAGGGAAGTGGCGAGTTGGTCGTCAGTGCAAGTGTGACTTGGAGGAGGTCACGTGAGGAGGAGATGAAAGCGTGTGGGCAGACTTGGAGCCAGGTAAAAACTCTAGCAGCGAACCGAACGCAATGGAGACGCACGGCTGAAGCCCTATGTTCCTCTAGGAATTAAAGGACATCATAATAATAGTAATAATAATAATAGTAATAAAAACCATTGTAATTCCAGATAGCCTACAGCTGATGCAACGGTTACACACAATCTAATTGGTCAACCGTAATTTACAGTTAATGAATGATACTATCTAGTTGTTTAAAATTCAGTGAAAGGAGGGGACATGCTTCAGTTCATACTAACTTAGCATGGCAAAGTTAAACTTTAAGCACCACTAACTACCAATCAGCGGACGATCTTGAACGGACCAATCACATGAAAGAGGGATTTTCGGTTATGGAAAACGTGTATTTATGAGAAAAATAAGCATAAAAACTGCATAAAACCATTACATAGGGTATCTTTCTCTAACATGTGACAGAAACATCTCCCAATTTAGTATAGGAGTGTGAATAGAAAAGTCACACCACATTATGTACATATATTCATCCAAATGACTATAAATGACATCCTTTTGAGATCCATTTAGAGCCCTAGTCCTATTTTTTAATCTTCCCCAAAATCCTTCAGTAGAATTCGTGGGTGTCCCTGTAGTGGGATCCACAAAATCACTAGAATGGTTCACTCTGTGATGAATATATCCGAGAGATGACAGCGAGTTATAACCTTCCCATTAATCGGTATGTACTACAGATCCCTGTTTCACCAGTCGAGTGACAATAGGTACTAAGGTAGTTAACTTTCTGCTTGCTATTCTCTCCACGAATCCTTTCTGCAGGAAGGTGTTATATAAACCAATCACCCAAACATTGTTGTCTCACTCACGACCACGGTTGTATTTTTTTCTTCAGTAACACAGTTTCGTCAACGTGCACGACGGCACCTTCTCCGCCTAACAACGAAGTAATTCTCTCTATTTTCCATGAGGCGATATCTCTGCAGTGCTGGTACAACTTAACTGTTGACACGAAGCTATTTTCAGTTTCAGAAGTTTCAGCTCCCACAGGATGTTTTAAAATCCAGTAATCACAAATATACGAAATCTGGGTTAGGGAGAGATGCGACCTAGCAAAAGATGTTCCTACGAAATAATGAAATTATCATCTTACCCTCCCTAATACTAACTCGTCTCAAACAAATGGCACAACGATGGACATATCCATCAGTCGACCTGCTAAAGCTTTTTAAACTCATGACAGCACCACGTGGACAAATCCTCTCCTTTCTAAGCAACCCCAAATCCAGGCAATACTGAGAAACCTTATCCTCCTCGAACTGCAAGCTTAAGTTTGTTAGGACACGTATTCGAAACGAATCAAGCACTATACAACCTTGAACTTACATGCATGAACCTCATTGGACCAGTCGAGGTCGTTCGCTGATTGGTAGTTAGTGGTGCTTAAAGGTTAACTTGGCCCTAAGCATTTTTAAAATCAAGTGTCCAAAAACTTATAAACTGTATTTATAAATAACTTCGAGGAACAAAGCTCTAAGTGGAGCATAGAACGTCAACAGCACACCTATGTTTCATTCTATTCTCTATAGTAACACTTAGATGAACTCCACAATTTACCATCACCATTCATCTTCTCCCCCAAATGATCTCCTTCATGGCACCCTCGGACCCACATCAAACTCGACGTTTCCCATTCAGGTTCCACTCGAGGGACTGTTTGACGCGTAATGTCGTTCAACGGTCTTCTCAGCATATGTCCAATTCATCCACATTTCTTGCGGCATATTTGTTTCGGAATAGGTTCTTGTTTGCTTCACTGCACTGCCTGAGTTCCTTATTGCTTTTCTTTCCTGACCATCTGATCTTCAGTAGGAAGTGAAGGTAGCTTTTGCAATGCTTCTGATAGCGCACCAAGTTTTTAAAGCTTATAACTCAGGAGTTATTTATTCCGTTGCAACAAGTTACTCTCAAAATAAATATTGAACAACGCCAGGGTGACTTCAGAGTTTAAACACAGTATGTTAGTAACTGGTTAAACAATGAATAAAGAAAAATAAATTTTAAAACATACCCAAAATCCAATTCACCTTGACACACATTTTATTTGGTACATTACATCCAATTAGAACTGATGCCTCCATTTTCTTATTGGTAAGCTAAAATAAGAAAAACAAATTATATTAGGATCAACAAAAAAATTCGGATTTTCGATACAAACGTCAAGTCAGTCACGGATCAGAAACTTGGCGGGTCACAAAGAATATTTCCAACCGCCCGTTGCAAACCTTTATCAACAACTGTCTTCGCTCTACACTGAAGATCAGATGGCCAGAAAGAATCACCAACAAGAAACTATGGGGACAAACAAGACAAGAACCAATCGCTCAACAAATATGCAGGAGAAAGTGGAGATGGATTGGACACTCCCTAAGGAGGCCGCTGGGTGACAGTGCGCGTCAGGCCAGTGCTCGAGTGGAACCCGAAAGGGAAGCGGCGAGTGGTTCGTCGGTGCAAGGGTGACATGGAGGAGATCGTGTGAAGAGGAGTTGAAACAGTATGGACTAACATGGATGCAGGTGAAAAGTACAGCAGAAGACAGAAGCAAGTGGAGACGTTCCTCTAGGAACCCAAGGGAACAATAATAATAATATAATTATATACAATAACGATTTATAATACGTACATAATGAAAATTTCATTAGAAAATGTTCTTCGCCATCCCATGTCGTTCCAGGTGCAACATATTGGCTTCAAGCTACCAAAGTTTTAGTAGTGGTACCGGTGTTTTTATACGGGGTGACGTTGCTAGTCTCACTTTGCCAGGGGAGGTAGGAAGTGGTTAAAAATTGAAATCAATATTTCAAGTCAATTGCTGCAGCAGAGGTAGAAGTGTTTATTCCTCAAGTCTGGATTTAATTTACGTTATGGTCTTGAAATAATCTCAATAGACAACTAGACGTCCTTTCGTTTGACCCTGGGCCAATAGCCAACCAATGGGAGCAGTTTATTGTCCGCTGACCTAACCGACTTTAAATATGGCTAATAACGCATAGATATGATGCATTTTAACACAAGAATAAAGTCCATTATCAATTCTCTTATCTTCTGCCGTCGCAGGGTTAGCACTACAGGCTAGGGAAGGTTCATGTATGCGGTGGGAATTCCACACCTGAACTTTAGACGCAAGAGGAACAGTTGCTACTCCACAAACACTCCTGAAGCTTGCTTTATCTTACAACATATAAATACAAATCAATACAAAGTTGATACAACCGGATTGGAGGTCGAAATTTTACATTTAGTCACAACAGTAATTTGTTAAGTGACTTAAAAGTCCCTACTAAGTCATATAAAAGAAAACATTCAGCGAAAAGTTACTCCCTGCAACGATATCATTCTCCAGCTGTACAATCGCATATACATAACAAATTCTCATAGCAATAAAAATAATATTTCCACCGATGTGTCATTAGAATTGTAAATTTCTCTAGATAATAAATTATGCAATATCAAAGTTTTAATAGGGTAGAAACTAAATTCAAAATCAAGTAAGTTAACAGAGCGACGTAATATATAATTGACACGATTCAATAGAATTCAACTAAAATTGAACGACAGTCAAGTTAACAATAACGGTAATGCTGGGTGGAAATTTAACAGGAGGTGAGGGGAGACGATAAAATAATTAAAATGGTCCTCTAACTGATGTGAGCTCATGATGAAATCCTCCAGCCAATCAAAACAAAATCCCTACCAAAACCAATACTTGAAAAATTCATCTAATGCTCACTACCGACTGGCCCTATTCAGGCAGTTAACCTGGGGGTCCAGTGGGAATCCGTGGCCAGTAGGGTGCAGCAGGTCGAAAGTGAGATAGTAACTCGTCGAAGAAGACATTGCGAAGTGGTCGCACTATGTCATGAATTGGTAGAAGTTAGAATTCATGGGCTATTGGACCGAGTCCCAGTGGCTTAATGGTCTACAAGGTCGCCTTGTAACCAGAAAGTCTGGGTTTGAACCCCAGTGGGTGCGCACTGCTGAAGAGCTCTGAACTAATCTGACGAAACCTTATCCTACTTCGAGTGATACTAAGTATCATGGTGATAAGAGGAAATGATTCAGAGAGCAATTACAAACCAGTCAACTTATTCGAAAAGACATCAAATTCACAAGGGAAGAATCAGACGACAAAATTCTTCCCTTAGATGTCTTAGTCAAGAGAACAAACATAGGAAGTTAAGTAATGCAAATGAAATGATACTCAACTATAGCCGCAATAATCCAACAGCACACAAAAGAAACTGTCTAGAAACATAATTCAAAAGAGATGAAACACATTACAGCACTTCAATCATGAGGAACAATGGGAGAGAAGAATTTATCAAATGTCCTCATGAAAATATGGATAACCTTTACAATTTCATCAACAACAAAAAATGTCTACAGTCAAAACAAACTACAAGCAACAAACCATACATGTAAATAATGCCTCTGAAATAACGGCTAGAGTACTAAAACCACTGAGAGTAGATATTACACACATATATCAACACAATCACTTCATTCTCATACTATGTGGAATGAAAGACTCAACAGCAAAAGAAGACAAGATCAATACCACCTATAAAAAAACTGCATAAAGTGATAAGTACTATACTTCACTCTGCGTCGGTGGCACAGTGGTTAGGACTCTCGCCGACCATGCACATGGTCCGGGGTTCGATCCATTACCGACGCACACCTGATATCCATGGTTGGCCTGCAAAATTTGGGCTACCGATATCACATGCTGAAAATTCCATACCTGTACCAAAAAATACGGTGTGGAATCAAGCTGTAATCAAAAAAAGCGGGCGTCCTCTTCGACCCCGAATCCAAGAACATAGTTAGGAAAATGAAGCTCTCAGAACGCTTAGTCTTGCTCCTAGGTAGGTTATGGTGAAGATATATGGATGACACATTCACTGTGTTGAAATATGAATATATCCCTCAGTCTTCATACATACATACATATAAACTCAATAGTAGACGGAATTCAGCCCACTTCTGAGTTGGAAAATGAACAAGATGAGTTAGCCATGTTAGGTTGTAGAATAAAACAAAAACAAGATGGCGGGTGGATTAGGTACTAGCATTCATAGGAAACCGACACACACACTCTTATAAATGCTTAGACTTTAATTCATCCTATCGAGAATCAGTAAACGCAAGTATAGTTAAATGTCTTAATAATCAGGCCACCAGCCTAACTAGTAAGCCAGAAGATTTAAGTAATTGAAATCAAACAAATAAAGGAAATATTACTACTGGATAACTACTAACCAGAATTTATTCAGAAATATATGAGGAACCATAGAAAAAAATAAGATTAGTAATAAAAATGCGCATGGTCCGGGGTTCGAACCCCGGCCGACGCACTCCTTTACCTCGCTAAGCCAGAAATAATACTGGTGAAGAGGAAAGGTTGGGCATGGAGCTAGCAACCCCATCCTGTAAAATAAGCACTGCTACAGAAACTTCAAGCCACTAGCTTGAAGCCCCATGTTCCACTGGGGAACGTGTAGGATAAAAAAATAAATAAATAAAAATGAGGAAAATAGCCAAAACAATATAGAATTCAAAACCTCTGTAGTACCGTCGTATAACGAAGGAACAGCAGAGGCCTTACGTAGGATTCTCAATAAAGTTGGAATTAGGGTGACATTTAAACCAACCGACAAACTCTCTCGGAGATATACTTTGTCCGTTTAAGGACCCAATAGATCCAATTAAGAAAAATAATATAATTCACCAAATACCATTTAATGACTATGAGGTCAGTTACATAGGTCAAACTAGTAGATCGGGATCGATTAGATCACTGGAACATGAAAATTCAGCTAGACATAGAATAATCGAACCTGCTAAGTTGAGCAACCCACAAACAACGTCAGCCATTGCACTCCATTCACTTGTGCGTAATCACAAAATAAGGTGAGTGGGACAGGGTGAGAGTATTAAAAAGTAACATAGTTACTCCATCATGGGTAAAATTTATTTTGTTAAAGTCTCACAGTGTTATACAGTAAGTAATATTTACTGATGACTACGTTCCGAGCACAATTTGTAGCTCATAGTCATATCAAGGTACTCACACAACTTTCTAACTTTGTTAATATGGTTCCGCTATTTCTCATCTCTTGATATGATTGGCAGTAATATTTTCCATGTATCTGGCATAAGTGATGAGTCATTCCTATCACATGTGTTGGATGTACACTCGATGAACCATGCAGGATTCAGTAATCAATCTCTCTCTCCACCTACCCATATTGCTTCTTAGAATTTTAACCCTCTCTCACTCTATTGTGTGGTTGTATGTTAATGCGTGCAGTGCAATGTAGTGCTGAGCTTTTTTCTAAATTACTTATCTTCTCGGGGTCAACCATTCTAACCTTAGCTAAATTCTTATGTTCCGACAATCTGACTACCCCCGACCTACTAGTCTGACCTATATAGTTGACCTCACAGTCATTGCAGGGTATTTTGTAAATTATGTTATTTTCTCTAATTGGGTAATATAGTTAGTTGGAGAGATAAAGAGGCTAATCACTGAAGCTTTGTTTATCGATTCAACACCAAACACGTGCATTCGGAATGATGCAGCGTCTATGCCGGAGATACGGGAAGTGGCAACAAACAACAATGGGGAGACGGAGGAATAAATGTGTAAAGGAAATCGTAAAGTAGTGTAACTAACTGATGGATATGATAAAGGGTAAGAAATTCTGCTCAAAACATCATCCAATAATTAATATTGTATCAGAGTGTTCTATCAAACAAACTTATCTAATATGAAATTATATTCTAACACCATGCCCAAGTTCTGCACTTACATTACCAAACGACTAGATTTTTATGACTGTTTGATATCAGTAGTATCTAACTACTCACCTCAGATAATCAGTAGTATATAGTTTCATGTATTAATGCACAGGCAAACAATATTTGTACAAACTAAATGATAACCGATAAACTATCGATCTGGTCTGTTACACATAACAGAGAACAGGCTGGGTTGCTATGGTGATAATAAACGGACATTTATATATCATCTATTCATACCAAACTGAGACATTATCCGAGGTGATTGCTTTGAAATGGTGACCTGATTAGCCCAGTAGGACCTAGTAGCTCATCTGTAGAAGAGAACTCCGGATTAGTGATTTTGAAGGCGATGATTTGAATCCTGCTTCACTTTCAATAATCACCTACTACACAACATTAATAAAAGTCTGTCACCCCGATCCTATTCTCAGCCAGTTTCATCATTAATAAGTAGGACTGTTGTAATCAAATTGAAAGTAAACAATTATTGGTTTGATTATCAGCTGACATCAGTTTGAGAATCACTGGAAAACTATAGAGCGCTGGGCAGCTGTTTCGTCCTAGTTTTGGACTCTTCGAGTCATGAAAGAGGACAACGACCCACTTGCCTATAACATTGAGTGACAGCAGTTGGAATTCATGGGTCATTCGATCGCAGTTTCCAGTGGCTAAATGGTTGACGAACTAACCTTGTAACCGGAAGGTCCTGAATTCGAACTCCGGTGGGTACATACTGATGAAGAGTTCCAGACTAGGACGAAAGAGATGTCCAGTACCCCCCCCCCCTAGTTCTTAAGCTGATATTAGCTCGTTATCAGACCTGTAACCGATGAATTCAATACACTCACATCTGTTGTGTCAGCTGATAACGATTGGTATAAAAAGAGTAGTTAGAGGGAGTGATTCGCAAGTCAGTAGTGGAGTGCTTGTAATGATGGGCTGCAGGTCTACTGTTATTTGACAAAATTCCAAAAGCATTGTTTGTAGTTTCACGCGAAGACATGCTACATAAATCCACGACTGGGCAACAATTCATATTAGAACATAAGTGGCATTCGAACTTCAAGTTCAGAGATTCGAAGCAGTATAGATAGTGAGCCAAATCATGAAAGAGATTATTACTGAGAAATCATTACTCACGATAGATTTCTAATAAGGTGGGAGTTCACGATCCCACGTATACATAATACAGCATACAAGAATATAAAACAGTGAAGAATAAGAATTCAGTATACACACATAGAGTGCGTCGGTGGTTCACGGTTAGAATGTCTGTCAACCACATACATGCTCTGAGGTTCGATTCCCAGCCAACAAACTACTAAATCTCTCCTAGTTTACTATCCGATAGCAATCCAAGAAAAAGAGGTAAGCATAAAACTTGGACACTGTGGTAAAGTATAGGTCGATCCGTCGGTTTTCGACATAGAACTTTGCACATATGTGCGGCAGTTCAAGTCGCCACACTCCCTGCTTGTAGCACACAAAGCAAGAGAAGAAAGTAGGAGAAATGCATATTAGAGACAGTAAACAGAGGTGTGAGACAAAGGAATAGTAATACCGGAAAACAAAACAGTTTCATTGGAAATCATAAGTCACAAGGAGTGGATGCATCTGCGCCACCCATTGAGAACGATTTTGAGCCATGTCACCAATTGTTTCCAACCATTGGTTTTTACCGTCCCGAGGACCCCAACCAGGAAGTCGACATCTTCCTACGTGGCTTAAGCTAACTGTTGTGGATTTCATTGACTGGTGCCATGTTTTCGTTTCACCGCCACTAGCTCTTCTCCAGACTGGCCCTATATCAGCTAACATGGCCCATTGTCGAGGAAGGCGATGACTAGGCATGCATGTGTAACACATGTCCTAAACATTTCAGTCGATGTAATTTCACAGTCTCGTCGACTGATTTCCCCGCCTTACCTAGCACTCGACGCCTAACCTCAATATTGCTCACCGTATCATACCACTTCACGCGGGATATAGAACGCAGACACCTATGATCGAACACAGCTAATCTTTTCATGTCTTCTGCTCTCAATGGCCATGTCTCACAGCCATAAAGGAGGACGGAGAGGACTGGTGACCAGTACACATGCCCTTTGGTCGATAGTCGGATATCACGTCTACGCCAGAGACGGCGTAAACTGGCGTATACGAACCTAGCCCTCTGTATTCGTGCTGAAATTTCGTCTGAGATCAACCCGTTGGGGCTGATGGTACTTCCCGAGTAAGTGAAGCGGTCAACGTGCTCTACCACTTCACTTCCTATTTCTAATCTAAGGGGTCGGTGAAGTCCAATCCTGCAGCATCATCTTACATTTTACAGGGGCGAATCGCATGCCAAACATACGAAGATTGTTGCTCAAGGTGTTCAGTAGACTCTGCATTTTGTCAGCATCCTCGCCTAGAAGGACTATATCGTCCGCATATTCTAAGTCGACGAGATTATTCCCTGGTGGCAAGTCAATCCCTGAGTCGTTGAAGTGTGTTAGAGTTAAGTCCATTAGTACGTCTATGATGAAGTTGAATAGGAATAGGGATAATGGGCATCCTTGACGGACGCCACTAGTCGTCACCACTTCAGATGACAACTCGCCATAAGCCCTCACCTGGCTGCATGAGTACGAGTAGAGTGCTTTAATCAGTGCAATGTATTTTCTTGGCATTCCCTTTACAGCCAAGCATCGCCAGAGAACTTCTCGGTCGACAGAATCGAAAGCCGCCTTTAGGTCAAGAAATATAATGATTGTTGGTATAGTATAACTCCATTATAGATAAGATTTTATTTCCATAAATCAGCTGGGAAAATATTGCTCTAAATACATTTAATCCTACTGCAAAAATATGGTGGAGATATGTGGATGACACTTTCACAGTGTCAGAAACAGAAAATATCTCCAGCTTCTTGACGCATATAAACTCACTAGTAAAGGGAATAAAATTCACATTTGAATCAGAAAATGAACAAGGAGAATTAGCTGTGATTTTAGATTGTAAAATAAAACGAATAGAAGAAGGTAAACTGCACACTAGCGTTTGTAAAAAGCCAACGAATTCTAATAAATATTTAGACGTTAGTTCATCTCATCTGTTGTCGGTAAAGGCTGGCTTAGTTAAGTGTCTAACAAACCAAGCAATAGCACTAAGTAGTGCAACAAAAAACCTAAACGATGAAATGAAACAGATAGAAGAAGAAGTGTTGGTGTTAAAATAATAACTACCTTATAAAATTCATCATATATATATCAAAAGAAGACAAATACACATAAAACTGTAAGAATCACTTACAACTGCACCACCTATACTGAGTAAGTCAACAAGATCTTGACGTGGTGGATTCGTATCCGAACCAACATAAATGACACCGGTATTTGAGAATAATGTATTCATTCTTTGCAGTCGTGATAAACGTGGTAATCCAGGTGGCTATAATAAAAATTTCAAGGGGAAAAATGAAACAGTATGCTAGTATTTACTGATGGATTTAGTCTGCTCTAATGACTGCACTAATGAAAAACTCAAGGTTATTAAAATATTACTAAGGAAAAATAGACATTGGGAAAATTTTTACCGATAAGTATATGAATTTAATGCCAAAGCAGGTTAGTATGTAAAAAGCTCCGAAGACGCCCATGACCCTAAAATTGCAATTCTTTGGTGACGGAATCAGTGAAATAATAACACAAGGCTTAAAGAAGATAGTAAAAAGGATATTCAATGCAGCAGACGTACACTGTCTTCCACAACCACGCTGATTTTACCTTCAGGAATTCAAGATAGATTGCCTAATTCCGCCTCCTCTATGTGTATCCATCAGTCTGACTGCTCCAGTGGAGTCAGTTATGTTGGACCTACAATTTGTCATGTTCATTATCATATTTCTGAACATCATCCTGTGTGGTTAAGCAAAGGACAAACAAGATCTATTCGTGGCTCTGTTTTAGCCCACCTCGTAGATGCTGAACATAAAACCGACAGAAACAAGGCATTTAAAGTTATCTACTGTATTCCAACTAATCTTAATTTTTGTCTTACGAGTTCGTCTTTTGCATATATCTAAAGCTGTCAGGATCCACCTATCTATATGTGTTCAGAAAGAAGGTTAATTAATAAGTCCCACTCAGTGAGTTGTATTCAGAAAACATTGTTGACGCAACAAAAACACAGAAAACTGAGTAGAGACGTCTAGTTGCCAGCGTATTATGAAATTAATAGCTATCTTTCTGATAGTAATGGCTTCTGCAAAGCGAATTAGTGAGGACTTTCTCTGTACAGTGATTATCTTGAAGGTTTGACTAATTTCAACTGAATGCCCCGTGTCAATCAGGTGTTTACAGACTGCAGTTGCAAACACTTTATCACTTTGACTGAACACCAGTAACTAGTGTGATGTGTCTAGTCCTTTCTTTGGTGTGGACTGAATTCTATCAGTCAGGTTTGTAATGTGGCCACCATTCTAGGCAGCTCGCCATCACGGTGCACATTGATTCGATGATATTAGATGGTTGGAGGCAATCGGCAGAAAGCCTTGCTTGATCTAGGTTTCGTGCTAGTTGGCCCTCACCAATCAGCAAGGCGTATCTGCAACCAGCTTGAAAGAACTCATGTCCCTCGTCTGAGATTCGAACCCACGTCACCCAGTGACTGTTGCAGTCAGAGACGTTTCCACTGAGAGCCAGCTATTCGGGCTCGCGATTGACCTCCTGTAGGACGGTAGTGGATACTTTGATTGGACACTAGTAACTAGTGTTATGCGTCTAGTCTTTTCTTTGGTGTGGACTGAATTCTGTCAGTCAGGTTTGTAATGTGGCCACTTTATTACTTTTCTCATGAAGATTGTTGGAGATATACTCGGAAAATCTAGTAGATGTTCGCCTCTCAGTTCTTCTAATGTGAATCGGTATATACATTCGGAGTTGACGTAAGCAGGATACTTATCTACCTTGGACTGTATTAGTGAGCATTTCGTGTTAGAAAAAGGAATCAATCTAGCGGAGGGAAATGTTCTTTTCAATGAAGCCTGGATTCTTTACTCGATTCTTGTTGATGCTCCTTTTCCCCTTTACAGACCAGGCAAATATTAAAAAAACTGCTTTCTTCTCAACGGTTACGGACTTCAGTCTAGACGTTTCTTCTCTTCCATATTTCATAATGAACTTCTTGAGATAGCTTTTCTCTACTAGATTCTTTTCAATAATCGCAAACATTTAATCAATCTTGTTTTCTGAACAAAATGCCCTCGGCTTCCTGAATAGCATTTTGACTACAGTCCGTTTGTAACCAGCTATGCGAAAACTATGATAATTCAAAAGTATTGACTTGTCCACGTTTCTTCACCACAGATTTTTTTCAATAGCCCTATTAATTCTTCGTTTTACGCCAAGATCAATTGAGTTTTTCATAGGTGATTAGTGCATGTCCCACATTACTGCAAACAAAAAATGTACCAAAGACAACCTCTGCAGAAATATATGATCTTCTCCATTTCTGTTTTCAACTGTTTCCGTTGAAGGAGGGAGGTGAATATGTCTGTCTGTCTGGATTCAACATAGAACTTGGCACCCAAGTGCAGCAGTTCCAGTTGCCACGTTCCAAATAGCACACAAAGGTAGACAAGAAAATGAGTGAAGAGAATCAATAGAGTTTTGACAAGTATAAGAGTGACACAGAATGAGTAATGGTAGAAAGGAATATGAAAGATTACACAAGAGACTGAATACATCTGCATAAGCCATTGACAACGATTTTGAGCCATGTCACCTATTGTCTCCAACCATTGATTCTTAGAGTCCCAAGGGCCCCAACCCGGAAGTCTGCAGCTCCCTACCTGACTCAGTTTAACTGTCAAGGATTTCATGGATTGATGCCATGATTTTGTTTGGCCACCACTTACTCTTTTCCAACCTGCACCTATATCAGCTAGTAAGGCCCGTCGGGGGAGGCGATGGTTAGGCATGCGCAGCACGTGACCTAGCCATCTCAATCTATGTAACTTTATAGCCTCTCCGATTGATTTTCCCTCTTTGCCCAACACTCTACGCCTAACGTCAACATTGCTTACCTTATTATACCACCTAACGTGAGAAAGAGATCGTAGACATCTATGATCAAAAACAGTCAACTCGTATTGGCCATGCTTCAGAGCCATAGAGAAGGACGGAGCGAACTGCTGAGGAGTACACACGTCCCTTGGTTGATAGCCGGATGTCACGCCTACGCCAGAGATGGTGTAAGTTAGCGAAAGCAGCTCGAGCTTTTTGGGTCCGTGCTGAGATTTCGTCACCAATCAATCCGTTGGTGCTGATACAACTTCCCAGATAGGTGAAGTGGTCAACATGTTCTATCACTTCACTCCCTATCACTAAGCTAGGGGTAGACGTAGTCCGGTCCTGTAGCAGCATCTTGCATTTTACAGGGGCGAATCGCATACCAAACATACGAAGATTGCTGCTCAAGGTGTTGGTGAATATATCCGCAAGAACATGGCTTAAAGACGACCTCATAGCCACTCCATCAATTCTCCAGTCTCGTTGGTTATTGAATTAGAAATGATTATTCATTGAACAAAAGAGTGATAATTGCTTCAATTCATTTCCAGACGAAGGAAGTAATCCAGACTGCTTGTAAATAATGAACAAATATCACATAATACTAGAGGTTTGTCTACAATATTCACTTAATTCAAGTCATATGAATCTTTGACACCTGCAAACTTTTTTCAGATTGGTTCCAGCATTTGTGTCAACCGACTAACCAGTTTATGGCAGTGTGAATTTACCATCAACATTATCGACCTCAAAATTACATCTGATTTGTGAACTTTGGGTAGACCATACATGAACCTCTTGGTTTAAGTTCACCATACGTATCATTATCATTATTATTATTGTTTCCTTTAGTTCCTAGAGGAACATAGGGCTTCAGTCGCACGTCTCCATTGTGTTTGGTTCTCTGCCAATGTTTTCATATGGCTCCACGTCTGCCCACATACTTTCATCTCCTCTTCACATCACCTCCTCCTCCGTGTCACCCCACCCTCGCACTGATGACCGACTCGCCGCTTCCCATCCGGGTTCCAATCGGGCAATGGCCTGGCGTGTGATGTCACTCACTTGATGGTTTGTTTTTTCAGAGTATGGCCACCAATCCACCTGCATTTCTTCCAGCATATTTAAGCACACTTGGTTCCTGCTGGGTTGGTTCGTTCATTGCCAGAGATCCCTGTTGCTGATCTTCTCTGGCCGGCCATCTGATCCTGAGTACTATTGAGAGGGGACAGCTGTTGATGAAGATCTGTAGTTTGTTCGAAGTGCCTTCCGTGACGTGGTGCCAAGTCTCTGATCCGTATAGTGAGTAGCTCTGACTTCACATTGGAGTTGAAAATATGGGTGTCATTTTCCATGCTGAGTGCTGTTGACCTCCGCACAGACTTGAGAGAAAAGAAAGCTTGCCATGCTTTTCCGATCCTCGCTACTTTGATATCCTCATCAGTTTTGTCCGCCTGTAGTTGAAACGATGCTTCCAATGTATGTCAGTAGTAATAGGAGGTTTCAGATTTCTCCCATTTATACTAGCTGATTGTTGTCTGTTGTTGTTGCTGTTGGCTGTTACCTGGCTTCATCACCTCTGTTTTCTCTATGTTCACCTGAATTCCCACCTTCTCTGGATGCTTCTTCTATCGCCAACTTGTTGCTTTTCACTTGCATATCTTCCAGTTTGTGGGAAATCAGACATATGTTATCATCGGTGAAGTTCAAATCCTCGCTGCCCATCGCTGTCTGTCTCATTATCCAGGTATTATTTACAACTGATTCTTTATAACGAAAATCCTTTAAAAATTCATTCCTTCTTTGATAAAGTGCATTAAATAAATCTCCTGATATTTATAAAATTCGTGGCTTGTAAATCAATTTGCAGTTTACACAGATCGAAGTGAGAATTCACCACAGTCCCCATTGGTTTGAACTGATTCGGCTTTCTGAACTGAGTAAAACCAGGTAGACGGACAGTGAGCCCGGCCCCATACGAGCGAAACAGTTGTCCAGTGTTTAAACGACTTCCATCTGGCTAGCAAGCACTATTGGCTGATGTGAGTGGGATACAACTACTACTCATCCCAAACAATTAGTAGTAGGATACGGTTTTATGCTTTTGATATTAAATAGAGATATTTCTTTTCGCATATACAAAACAGTTATTGTAACATATAAATAAATGATATTCTCACAACAATGAACACTAGAAGAAGAGTAAGAAACTGATATATCGACACCGCTGCTAATTGTTATTCATGTATAATCCCCATCCCGGCATTAACGAAAACAAAACACGTAGATCAGCGAAGAGTATCTTTTCGGTGAATTCATTTTCTTAGCTGTACAATCGCAAATAAATATGTGTTATTTTGTATGTATGTGTACATTAAGTTTATCAAACAAAAATACAATTGGTTATAGTTATTTAAACTAAACAGGTGAAGATTGGTAATTGGAGTTAAGTAATACAAAATCAGTCAAGAAAATTAGGTGTTAGTGAAATTAGGGTAGTAACAAAGGTGATGAGTTGTCACAAACAGTTATTAAAAGAAGTTATGTAGTATGAATAGTTTGATGAGTGAGTTTTACTCAGGATGCACATAGAAACAAAGTAGATCATACGAAATTACGTAAGAGTTCTAAATGAATACAAGAATTATAAGCAATTAAAGAACAGGTGAAGAAACAAAATTAAGTCACCAAAATCAAAAAAATCAAATCAAGTCAAAAAAGTTGTTACCATGATAGTAGAAGTGGTTGAGTAATTCTTTTTTGTATGGACAGCTCCGGTTTTTCTATGTGAATGGCCAGAGCTTCAGCGATACAAAGAAGACGAGACCGTATTGCCTTTAGTAGATTATTCTTGACTCTGTAGATTACTTTGAAGGAGGCGTTTGTTGAAATGGAATGATCAGTGTTAACTAGGTGTTCAATTATCACACTCCTTATTGCACCACTATTACCTTTTCGCAACCATGCTGGATAGTGTTCTTGAATCCTCTTGGACAGAGTGCGCGTCGAACGACCGATGTACCTGGCTCCACAGCAGCAGGTGAACTGATATTTGCACATAGAAGTGGTTAGATGCGGGATCTTGTCCTTGAGGCTTCTGCAGATCAGTGGGTCACCGGAGAACACTATTCTTAGCGTTGCTGCAAAGAATGTTCTTCTCAGAGATGATGTGATCCTTCTATTGAGAATATCGCTTGCTAAATCTCCCTTGAAATCCAAGTTCATATAGAGTTTCTTTTTAGGCGCAATCAAAGTTTCGTTTCTCCGAATTCTCGGTTTGATGTTTTTGTCGATGAATCTTATTGGGTATCAATTTTGGGTGAAAATTTCTCTTGGAATATCTAATTCTGTTTCCAGAATGTCGGGACTACAGATGCGTCAATAAAACGTAATTTTCTTGACTGATTTTGTATTACGTAACTCCAATTACCAATCTTCACCTGTTTAGTTTAAATAACTATAACCAATTGTATTTTTGTTTGTTAAACTTAATGTACACATACATACAAAATAACACATATTTATTTGCGATTGTACAGCTAAGAAAATGAATTCACCGAAAAGATACTCTTCGCTGATCTACGTGTTTTGTTTTCGCTAATTGTTATAACGGTAATGAACTCGAGTGGTACGCTAATACGTCTATTCGTGTGTTCTACCTCCCGCTTAACTGAACCACGCAAACATATGAAAAGACAAGGGCTCGTCTGTGAATGTAAGACACTGTATATCTCTATTAGCAAACAACACATCATATTTATACATGTTCTTTACCATAATACAGTCGCGGCTAGCAGCCGTAAGAATGGATTATTCTTATTGGCTGGCAATAGCTATTCTGATTGGTTGGCTATCCGACAAAGATCAAGGTGAGATAAAAGATGATGAATTGATCAAACAATAAATCACATGATGCGTGAGAAACGATGATATACTACTTTATGCTGGATCTTATCAGAAACTCCGCCTATTAGATAAGGAAGTCGGGACTATTCGCATAGCACAACATCCCACAGAATCTATTAATTCACGTAGTTCACTGACTATTCTTTAATTGTTCTCCCTCTCTAGTCTTCGCCTGAGGCTCTCAAGATTGGCTACGTCAACTCCTAGCTTAGTGATAGGGAGTGAAGTGATAGAACATGTTGACCACTTCACCTATTTGGGAAGTTGTATCAGCACCAACGGATTGATTGGTGACGAAATCTCAGCACGGACCCAAAAAGCTCGAGCTGCTTTCGCTAACTTACACCATCTCTGGCGTAGGCGTGACATCCGGCTATCAACCAAGGGACGTGTGTACTCCTCAGCAGTTCGCTCCGTCCTTCTCTATGGCTCTGAAGCATGGCCAATACGAGTTGACTGTTTTTGATCATAGATGTCTACGATCTCTTTCTCACGTTAGGTGGTATAATAAGGTAAGCAATGTTGACGTTAGGCGTAGAGTGTTGGGCAAAGAGGGAAAATCAATCGGAGAGGCTATAAAGTTACATAGATTGAGATGGCTAGGTCACGTGCTGCGCATGCCTAACCATCGCCTCCCCCGACGGGCCTTACTAGCTGATATAGGTGCAGGTTGGAAAAGAGTAAGTGGTGGCCAAACAAAATCATGGCATCAATCCATGAAATCCTTGACAGTTAAACTGAGTCAGGTAGGGAGCTGCAGACTTCCGGGTTGGGGCCCTTGGGACTCTAAGAATCAATGGTTGGAGACAATAGGTGACATGGCTCAAAATCGTTGTCAATGGCTTATGCAGATGTATTCAGTCTCTTGTGTAATCTTTCATATTCCTTTCTACCATTACTCATTCTGTGTCACTCTTATACTTGTCAAAACTCTATTGATTCTCTTCACTCATTTTCTTGTCTACCTTTGTGTGCTATTTGGAACGTGGCAACTCGAACTGCTGCACCTCGGTGCCAAGTTCTATGTTGAATCCAGCAGCAGCAGCAGCTCAAGATTGGCTACGTTACATTACGTAGGACTTTAGAAGCTGTAAGCAGGGTTGGTGGTGTGTCTTCGACCCAACTAACTGACACTGCTGTTGTTGTGGTTGGGCATTCTAACTCTTGCAAGCAATTGGTTAAAGTAGTCACGTTGGATACTGAACATCCTCCTCTTTATTATTCGCAACTTTCTCCTTGTATCGGTTCGAGTAAAACCAGGAGGAGTTTCATGAGATTTGTGCACGTACGGCTGCACAGGTGTTGTGTGTGTGTGTGAAGAGACGCATGTCAGAAAAACAAGAGCTCATGAACCTACTTTATTAGGAACTTATTACCAGAATTATTATTACATATATCTTTTTCCCACACTGCGTGATTATTATTATTACTACTATTAATGTCTTAAGTAGTACACTCACTTTGAATAATGATTCTGATAGCCACATATTTGATGATACTGACTCACGTATCCAATCTGTTGTACAGATATGCACACCTCGAATCAGTGCATAGAATAATTTCAATGTTCGTCGACATGGTAATTGAGTAATTAAATGTGTAAAGTGTGGTGTAGCACAGGCCCGACTAGCTGTACCAGGCTTCACAATATTTGATCTTCTTGATGAATGAGAATTTGCGGCAATTGAATTACTCGGCAATTTTACAATATCATAATTTGTTAAATTACTTGATTTTAATAAAGCAGTTAAGAGTTGTTCATCTCTGAAATATTTAAACAAAATAAAAAATTCAGAAAAGAAAGTATAAAAACAACAAACATTACTTTATTATCATTATTACTGTTATTATTTAAATAAAATCGGCACATTATGGGCACTAATAGAGGCGCCAGACAAAACCTCATAGTTTGTACGAGGGTTTGGACACTAACCTGAATACCCAAATCAAAGCAGGTGGTTGTCTTAAAGGATTAAGCACCCCCCCCCCCCCGACCGGGGACTTTTAACTTGAAGTCTGACCCACAAGACAGTCGAGTATCGTTAGGAGCTATATTTCCATAGTTCCCGGTGACCAAAACAGGTTCATACGCCATTTGATCCTTTCAAATTCTGGAGCCCATGTAGACCATAGGTTTGCAATCAGGGTTCTCCAGCACCCCCAAGATAAACCAGCATGTTCACCTGTCCTGCTGTAAATGTCAGACGTTCACATTCACCATTTCACTTTTGCGTGAAGGCAATGAGTGGGATTCACCTATCACAGGCTACGTACGCGTGACCACACGAGGGTATTTCGAGAGGAAGAAGATCGAAGTCTACCCACCGTCGACCATAACACATCGTTCATGGGAGTCATAGGTAAGTGTACATAGGTTGGATGCCTTACGCAATAAGAATAAGAATAACAGTTGAACTGAGCATATACTTTAAAGTTCATATATTGAATTAATAATCACATCTATTATACAAGGAATATGCTATTAACTGACTTCCTACATATCCATAAGTTGATTACGAAGCTGTTGTCCAATACACCCAGTTGATTTTCCAATGGTTCTCCCCAACTGATGTCAGCTCATGATGAAATCCTCCAACATCTAAAAATAGACTCACTTGCTTTTCTACACAGATAGCAATATAAGCTACATCTGTTGTGTGAAGGTTGGAGGTACTATCTGGCTGCACAAACCTTAGTAGATGGAGCAAGCATTGAACATGTAATTGGAAGTTGTTGGAAACCAAGCACCTAGACCAGTAAGCCACAGCTAAATACACTGTCAGATCTACTGTTTAACAATAAGCGACATATACACAGTACACAAACTGTAACCCCAATTCACTAGACTACTGCAATCGTAAATTGGTAACTAGTGTAGTCCAGTGGCATAAATGAGATTCTAAAAGTGAATACGTGTAAAAATTCATCCTACAGTCGATCAGTTTCTCCTTTATGATGATGAATAGCACAGGAGAAATTTAACGGGTCATCTCTTTCACCTACCTATCTAGGGCAGCATCGTTTCAACGACAAGCGGCTTGGCTTACATGAAGACGTCAAAGCCGGGCAGGATCGGAAAGACAAGATAGATCTCTATTACAACGTTTGAGTAGCTTGAAAATCCTCATTGAGTCATATGAAAAAGAGAAGACGTTCAGCGAAGAGACTCTTTTCGCCGGCGAATTCATTCACATAGCTGTACAATCGCATTTATATATAATTATTTGTAGACGACAGAGTAAGAAGTAGTCTCCCTAAAGGTGTACGAATCAGACTTCTTCAAACTGCAGAAGCAATGGTGATTCACTTGCTAAGCACTGAACTCTGCATACAGAAGAAGTTCGTTCAATCACTACACTTGCAATGGACGTAATCTATCTTATTAGCCGACAAGTAAATTCTACCTAATCTTTTCTTCTGTCTCTTCATTAGTATTATTTTGTCTTCTCAATTGTAATATTTTACATTTTCAACTTTCTTGTTCTCTACCGCCACCCGATTGAATTTCTACACCTCACTACCACTGTTACTGACTTAAACAACGCTCAATTTCTAGTCATTTATGTTACGTCATCCAACTTATTTGCTCAATTTCACTTCTACTTAGTCTCTGCCTGTAATTACCTCTGTTGCTACCCTGATCTAAGTTGAAACATTTTAGTCAATTATATTACGTCATCTAATTTACTAACTCAATCTTACTTTAGTTGTTGTCTGATTAACTTTGTTTCTATATTACATCATTCTTGTATTAACTAATCAATTATCTAAACTTGACAAACCTCATGTACACACACACACAAATAATTATATATAAATGCGATTGTACAGCTATTTATTTATTATTTTATTTATTATAGCTTGATTCCACACCGTATTTTCGGTACAAGTATGGAATTTGCAGCATGTGATATCGGTAGCCCAATTTTGCAGACCAACCTAAGATATCGGTTGTGCGCCGGTAGGGGATCGAACCCTGGACCATGTGCATGGTCGGCGAGAGTCCTAACCACTGTACCACCGACGCCGAAAAGAGTCTCTACGCTGAACGTCTTCTCTTTTTCATAGATCTCTATTAATCCGATGTATCACAAGAAGAACATTTTCAACAGTTAGCTGTAGACTTTCATCAACAACTATCTTCACGCCATGCTGAAGAACACATGGCTAGAAACGACAAGAATCAAGAAGCCATGTCGATGGATCAAACAAGAACCTATTGCTCAACAAATATGCTGAAGGAAATTGAGATGGACTGGGTACATACTGAAGACATCGTTGAGTGGCATCATGAGCGAAGCAGGCCCTTGAGTAGAACCCAAAAAGGAAACGACCAGTTAGGCGGCCGAGGGCGACATGGAGGAGATCATGCGAAGAGGAGATGGGAGCCCATGGGCAATCGTGAAGTCAACTTACAAAGACTGAGAAGAAGAGAATAAAATGAAGATAAGCTGCTGAAGCCATATGTTTCGCTCGGAACCCAAGGGAATAATAATACGATAGTGATGCACATCAATTTGGCTATGTTGTATGCCGTGTTGTTTGTGTAAATGCGACAGATTTTGTAACACGATGGTTGGAATACGCTTCAAACACCTGGAGCTCATGGAAGATAATTGAAATTTCGGTTGATAAATCCATTCAGCTATCATGTTCAGACATTATTTTTTTAATACTTTTTTTATTATAGCTTGATTCCACACAGTATTTTTTTGGTACAAGTATGAAATTTTCAGCATGTGATATCGGTAGCCCAAATTTTGCAGGGCGACCATCGATATAGGGTCTGCGTCAGGCGGATATCGAACCCCGGACCATGTGCATGGTCGGCGAGCGTCCTAGCCGCTGTGCCACCGACGCAAGCACACATAAATCCCCTCTAAATGACCTATTCACACGATCACATAGAGACAGCCTATGGAATAAGTGTAATCTATCTCAACAAGCTTTTCTATATGTTTTACGTTGACATAACTAGTACACACTTCGCTAATGTTTATACTTTAGGTTTTTGACCACTATTCATCACAGTTGGATATGACCATAAAAAATTGTCAAAATGCTGGTTACCAGTGCGCTGAGGATGGTATATCGACTACCAGCGTGAAAAGATGCCGGGAACGCTAAGCAGAGTACTTTGAGAAGCAGTTCAGCTGGTCATTAAACGCCAGCATCCAGCACCACCAAGGTGGAGGTCCTTGTGACTTGTGATTTCCAATTAAACTGTTTTGTTCTCCGTTATTACTATTCCTTTGTCTCACACCTCTGTTTACTGTCTATATTATGCATTTCTTCTACTTTCTTCTCTTGCTTTGTGTGCTACATGGAGTGTGGCGACTTGAACTGCCGCACATATGTGCAAAGTTCTATGTCGAAAACCGACCGACCGACCGACCGGAGGTCCGAAAGGAACTCCAAGTGTTGAAACACTAACCCAACCGGACAATCTAACCACGACTGTTTTTGAAAATAGTGAAGAGATTCGCGTCATGGCTTTGACTGAATTGTTCAAGAAAGTATGAGAAAAACCAGGACGTCCCATCAATGTCGAATGAAACCATCATCGTGCCTATCTTTAAAAAAGGCCGACGCAACCCGTGCGATAACCATAGGGGTAATTAATTTGCTACCAGTCACATCCAAAATACTGGCTGTTGTCTTGCTTCGCAGTTCATGTATCTGGGTAGTTGTGTGAGTGCAGGCGATGTGACGGATGAGATTTCTAACCACATAATCAAAGCTAGGTTGTCAACTTGAGCCATCTATGGTGCCATCGCGAGTCAGTCTGCCCGTCAAAGGTATGGTTTACAATAGTTCAGTGTGCGCAATCTTGTTCTGCACCTGTGAAACCTGGCCGCTCTGAACTGAAAATTAAGACAACTCTGCGTGTTCAGTCATCTCTATCCTAGTAGAATCGCTTGTATTGGATGGTATCATCGCGTCAGTAGTTCTGAAGTCCGGTAGCGTGTGTTTAAACACAGTGGGAATCACCATTCATTGAGTGCCGTAATCTGAAAGCGCCGGCTTCGGCGGCTTAGATGTTTGCTATGAACATCATCCCAGAGGCTTCCGTACCGGTCCGCGTTCGCTAACCCTGGGACAGGATCGAAAAGGCGGAGGTGATCAGTCTATGACGTGGCATCGTAAGATGAAGGATATTTGTGTTAGGTTAGCATTTTGGTTGGCATATCACGACTCTCTGACAGACAGTTTGAATCGGCGACTCGAAACGTTATCACATATGGCCAATAGTCTCAATCAATGGCCAAGATGCTGCAATTTCCTTCTTTCTTCCCCTTCTGACAGTAATACGGTAAATGTTGTTTGGTCTTGTTAAATATATAATTGCTTCCTTAACCGGATGAAATCGTTTTATTTCTTTTCGTATGGCGCATCTTCTTGGTGCCTATATTGCACCAAGTTTATGTTTTAAATAAACAAATTAACGAATCGACAGAAGTTATGCATCACAGGCTATTGAATTTCAACCTGATGTAAGTTGATAATTCATGGTTCAATCGTTTGCGCGAAAATGAGTGCATACTGATAGTAGAAGAGCAATGCAGTACTCCTCGCTATATTCACTACCAGTCTGTGTATGGATGGAGTCAGTTTACCTTCAAATTTATGAGTAACTGAGTCAGATTATATTTATGTAACACTGTCAACTTTCCACTGTCGTATTAAGCAGTAGTAATTTACTCTGGAATTATTATAATCACTTATCGTTTAAACACGTGTGCCGATAGTTCAATGGTGGAATACCGGCCAACGACGCCACACGTGGTTCGGGGTTCGACCCCTGACCACTGACGCACTCCTAAACTTCACGTAGCCAGTAGTATGGTAAAAAGAAAAGGTATGGGTGAATGTGAGGCTAGCGAACACACCCCTTAAAAAGATTAAAAGCCAATGCTGCTGAAATATCAAATCTAAAGCTGGAACCTGTGCGTCGGTGGCACAGTGGTTAGGACTCTCGTCGACCATGCACATGGTCCGGGGTTCGATCCCCTGTCGGCGCACACCCGATATCTATGGTCGGCCTGTAAATTTGGGCTACCGATATCCATGCTGAAAATTCCATACTTGTACTGAAAACACGGTGTGGAATCAAGCTGTAATCAAAATAAATAAAAAATATTTTAAAAAAATGGTCTACTCAGAACGAAAACGAATAAAATTTAGAAAAAAAACAAATAATTGTCGAACAATAACAAACGCGTCATCAGGCTGAAAAAAAATACGAAACTCTACTTACTCCGACTGAGTCCCACTAAATACAATACTGATCTTAGTTGAATTCTTTACAGAAGTCGATGGAGATTTCATTGTAACATCTAAAATAGAATTTTTACACAAAAAATATTTCACTAGAATAATAAAACTGAAATGATGAATAGTCTCTAAAAATTGTCAATGAACTTGATGAATTAAGTGGAAAGAAAACAGAAAATCCCCCCCCCCATATTGAATCATACCGACAATTATACATCTCATCCAACAGCTGTACGACAATGCTGCATGCCAAGTAATCCACAACGGGAAACTTACGGAGGACAGGAGTAAGACAAGCTGGCTGCCTACTATCGCCAATGATTTTCTTGATTGCAGTAGACTGGATAATGCGACAAACAGCGGGAAATGAGGAAACAGGCATAAAATGGACTCACACAAAAAACTTGGAAGATCTGGACTTCACCGATGATATATGTCTGATTTCCCACAAACTGGAAGATATGCAAGCGAAAAGCAACAAGTTGGCAGAAGAAGCATCAAAGATAGGACCGCAGGTGAACATAGGGAAGACAGAGGTGATGAAAATTCCTGGGCAACACCACCAACAGCAACAACAACAACTGACAACAATCAGCATAAATGGAATGAACCTGAAAGAAATAACCTCCTCCACCTACCTCGGAAGCATCGTTTCAACTACAGGCGGAACTGACGAGGATATCAAAGCAGCGAGGATCGGGAAAGCAAGACAAGCTTTCACTACTCTCAAGTTTGTGTGGAGGTCAACAGCACTCAGCATCAAAAATAACATCCGGATTTTCAACTCCAATGTGAAGTCAGTGCTACTCTATACGGATCAGAGACTTGCACTGCGCGTCATAAAGACCATCTCAAACAAACTACAGACCTTCGTTAACAGTTGTCTTCGCTCAATACTCATGGTCAGATGGCCAGCCAGAAAAGACCAGCAACAGAGATCTCTGGAAGCAAACCAGCCGGGAACCGATTGTGAAACAAATAGGCAGGAAGAAATGGAGATGGATTGGCCATACTCTGAGGAAGCCATCAAATGAGTGACATCACTAGACAAGCCATTGCTCGAGTGGAACCCGAAAGGGAGGCGGTGAGTTGGTCGTCAGTGCAAGGGTGACTTGGAGGAGGTCATGTGAAGAGGAGATGAAAACGTGTGGGCAGACTTGGAGCCAGGTGAAGACCCTAGCAGAGAACAGAACGCAATGGAGACGCGTGGCTGAAGCCCTATGTTCCTTTAGGAATTAAAGGATACAATAATAATAATAATAATAAATAATTGAATCATACAAACAAAAGAAAAACGTTACCGTGAAGGGAATTTTCTCTTCGACGGGAAGTTTTCAAAAGCTACAACACAATTATATTTATTTTCCATAGTTGATTTGTAGGGATTAGATTTGTTTATTACGAGTTTGGCCACGGAAGTGATATCAGTCAGAGAGAACGATTGAAAACAAGAAGAGAGGAGTGATGGACAGCCAGCTGTTTCATCCCACTGGTTTAGGAATCATCGGCAGTACGCATCTGCCGACAGGGTTCGAACCCAAGACCTTCCCGTTACAAGGCAAGCTGGCTCGTATACCATTCAGCCAGTGGGACCCTATGTTTTCGAAAATGTATTACGTAGTGTGAAATGCAATCTAGAAGGGAATAACTAAATGGAGATGAGAACAACGAAGGCTTGAGTTACGCAATAGATGTGGAAAATTATCCAATCAATCAAGTATTCGTTTGCAGCGATTTGACTGATTTTAAGATTGATCCTGAACCGACTTCAATTAGGAGACGATTGAAAACCATGCAGTACTCATCAGCAGTTTTTCCCTGGTTTGGGGCTCCTCAGAAGTGCACTTATGACCGACCCCACTGCTTGGGATAGAACCCAGGATCTTCAGGTTACAAGTCGAGCTCGTTTACCATTTAGCAGCTGGGACGGAGTCTAATGGCTGATAAAAATCCGAACTTCTGTCAATTCGCCATTATTAGTGCGAATGGCCGACGAGCTCACCTCGTAGCCTGGAGTTCTTGGGTTCAATGCCAAGCAGTGGGGTGATGGATGAGTACTGTGAAGAGTCCCAAACTAGGACGAAACAGCCGTCCACTGCTCCATGCTGGCCAATGGCTCTCTAACTGACATCAATCTGTGAACAGACTTGCAAAAAAAAATACTTTTTGTCAGAAAAAAGCCAGTGTGAAAATGATAAAAAAAAGCAGTAAAACTTACCACTTTTGCATTTCTCCACAGGTGTCAAACGAAACTCTTCTAGGCTGTTACGGTTGCTGATAGGCTGTTTTTTTTTTAAAAAGTAGAAAAAAGCAATGAAACAAAACACAGTGAATACGACTCATTATGTCAATAACAACAATGTTAGGCTACTTTGTTAAGTCAAAAAATCAAACCCTTAAAAACATCATTTAGGATGTTGATGTCGTATCTTGGCATTAACGCAGATAAATCGGAAGGCATGGGTTATTGAGTGATAATCTGATTCGTCTTCGCTGAAAGGTGACCACTGAAAATATTGTGGTGAGAGCTGTCTACTAGCCAATTTACGTCACGAATCGAGGTCACGAGATAAAACAAGAACAAAGCCTAACCTTGAGGAACTCAACAACCAATCACAGCAGACATGGCGTGTGCAAATACGATTAGCAGATATATGGTCTGACCCAAAAAGAAACTACCACAAAGAGATGACAGAATAACTTCCATTGAGAAAAAGACCAATCAGAAGACGCTGTTTCTCTCCAAATAACAACGAATAATAATGTATATAAAAATCTATAAATGTCTCTTGATTTTTCAAGTGTTGGTTTGTAGGGATTTGATTGGTTACAGGATTTTCATCATGAGCTGACATTAGTTAGAGAACCATTGGAAAACCTGGGAGTACTGGACAGCTGTTTCGTCCTAGTTTGGGACTCTTCATCAGTACGCACACCGGGATTCGAACCCAGGACCTTCGGGTTACAAGGCGAGCTCTCTTGATTTCTTCAATAAACGATCTATTGCCTGACCCTTGTCTTCTGTCATTACAGCCTTACTAAACTCTTCACACCCTTAACATTTGAATAGAAGCTTGATTTAATAATAATAATAATAGTAATTTCATTTAATGAACATCATGCAATTCAGAAACTGCGTTCACGTGTCTCAGCAGTAAGTGGTGAGCCACAACTGCTGATTCCAACCACTCCAAGAAACTCAGAACATGAAGTATAGCTCGAAATAACAGTCCATTAGGTGAACGTTCAGCGTTTAGGTCTGAGTCACAGCTTCGTAATAAAAATGGTAAAGTACTATGACATATACACACAATTTTCAAAAATATTGAATAACGTGAGTGTAAATGATAAACACGTATGAATTGAAACAATATATGTAAATTTAAGATGAACAAATCTTCTCAACAAAATATACCTTTGAAAGTACAGCCACAATTGTAGATGAAATCGGATACATCGTTAGATTCAGTCATGTCTTCAAGTACCGAGTCAGTGGCACAGTGGTAGAATGCTCGCCAAACACGTATGTGGTCCGGGGTTCGAGCATCGGCCAGCGCACTCCTTTGCCTCGTTAAGCTGGTAAAGAGGAAAGTTTGGGCATGAGGCTAGCAACCCCATCCTGTGAAAATAAACACCACGGCTACCGAAACTTCAAAGCTCTAGCTTGAAGCCACCCTATGTTCCACTGGGAGCGTAAAGGAATAAAGAAAATTTCAAAAAATATTTTCAATAATTGGCTTTCAGGGATTTGACCGATTTCAAATTTGATCACCACTTGACTTCAGGCAGACAACCAGTGAAAACTAGAGAGTACTGGACAGCCATTTCGTCTCATTATGGGACTCTTCGGCAGTACGCACCCATAGCCTCACTACCAGGGATAGAACCCAGGACCTTGTAGCTACAAGGCGAGTTCCTTAATGATTCACCTACTGGGACAAAGTTCAATGGCCTATGAATTCTAACTTCTGCTAATGTCACCAGAGAATACCTGTCCTCACATCCAACTTGGTGGAGCCCAATGGTCACAACTTTCCCCTGGAACTTCAGGCAATTTCATCGTGTATTCAGTCATCGGATCAATTTTCAAGTGTTGGTTCTCAGGGATTTGATTTAAACAGCTGTTCTGTATTCCCTGGTTTTCAATGGTTCTCTAACTAAGGTCAGTTAGTGATTCAACATGAAGTGAATCATATTTGACGAACGAATTTTGTTTAATATAGCTCTAAAAATGCATGTTTTAAAAACCAACAAGTGATCGCTGAAAGAATTATGACGGTCATGGATGCTTCAGTTTTAAACTTCATGTTTCCCGAAGTCCGTATTACTACATTTAAGTCTCCTGAAAATTCTTCTCTATCATGAAAATTTCCCTCAAATTACCAAACACACTCGCCTCCTGAATGTACTACTGAAAACATTTAAGGTAAATTTTAGCCACTCACTTTTATCTGACTAAGGGATATCCGTTTCGATCTTCTACATATTGGTGTGGTCACCTTGTATTCACCACGTATTCTCTGTTTACAATCAGATGACGACGGTTGTGTAGGACTGAGCACTACGCCTGAACTACGCAATCTTTTCCGAAAAGGACTCGATGCTAGCGTTGATGTCTGAACAGATTTAACGTTTTGATTATGTTCTGATTTTGTTAGCACTACAACAGGAGACATTGTTTCATCTAAATCCACGAGGTTGACTGGTAAACGTGAACAAACAGGTCGCTGGGTTAGTGGTGGTGGTATATGCGATTTTCCATTTGACTTTATTTCCTCACAAGCGGCTTTATTCGAATCACGCGTGTCTTTATGGCCACCAGAAGATGACGATAAAGGCGGGTTCTTTTCCTTTGCTGGCGTTATTTTCACTTTCACCTTTTCAACACTTTTACTGCTGCATGGAGTTCTATTTGTCAACCGGTTATTTGTAAGTCGGCGTTTAGGCGTTTTACTCCTCCTTGTAGATGGAGTAGACTTCAGTCTCGGTTCACTACGGGATTCACTGTCTATTGCAGTGGTTTTTCTAGGTGTTTTCGGTGTACCTGTAGTAGTGTGTAAATTCGATGATTTCTTATTGGGAGTGATGAATGTCTTAGGTGATTTTCCAATCTGATCTTTACGTGGAGTAACCTTGGCATTATTAGTGTTATTACATTTCATAGTCTCATCCTTCTGTTTCTTTTTAACACTGAAAGACTTTGGTTTATGCGATCTATTCACAAAATTCACTAGCACATCTGGAGTAAGAGGTGTACCAAATGAAAGCTTTTTGGTTAATTCAGTTGATCGTCTTTTTAACTTTTGTCCTTTACTATTATCATTATTATTATTGCCTTCACAGTTACCACCAGTGAGTGTAGATGATTGTTGAACTCTTGGAATAATTAATACATCATTTTGTGAATATGTTTCAGGATTAATTAAACGAAATCTATGTGAGTTGGTTTGTTGTGCATCAGCTGAAGGAATAATCTCTGCCAGTGAATCATCCAAAATACTACTTGTGTCTAAAGTGTCTGGTTTTTGAGATTTACGGAAAATAGGTGATAAAGAATGACGGAATTCTACAGGCATTGGTTGATTCACTGCTGCATTCTGTGTTGACGTAACCATTGAGTCACCTAAAGCTAAGCGAAACAAAAACAACAACAAAACAAAGAGAAGTAGAGGCATGAAACAAATGAGATGTGACAAGTTTGTCGAAAGCTAATCGATCCATGGAGTTTGAACACGAATCAAAATCAAGGAGAGAGAGAGAGAGATAGCCAGTGGGGCTAGCTTTCATAAATGACAGGCTCCATTCCTCCTCTTTTCTTCATGCACTATAGGGAATACGAGTGGAATGAAACCAGCAAACCGGCATCTACACTTCAAAGAAATGAAAAAAATAGATCCTACAGTTTTGAAATTGCCACTGTTTTGATGATGTCATTCTAAATACCCCCCGCCCCCGTAGGTTTACATGAGCAGTAGGATGACATAAAAATATGTATAACCTTTCTCAGACCCTACTACTTACTAGTAGTATATAAGTACATATAGTGTTTATAATGAATAAAGCAAGCCATTTTCGTAACTCTCTATGGACTTAAATAATGTCCACTTGCAAAGTTAGTCAGTTATCACGTTGTTTTTTATGAGCAGCAAGCCAACCGGACGTCATTTTAATGTAAGAGTAGAATTTGGCCAATGTGGTGGAATATGAATTCAGTAATAGATTAGTTTGTAGAAATCCTCCTTCTTCTCTTGTTCTGAGACGTTTGTAGGCACATAGCATTGAATGATTGTAACCTTCCTTCCTTCCTTTTGAGTTGAACCTAGCTGTCATTATCCTGGAGGAGATTGGTTCCCACTGCATGAGGAGGCCGCTGGGCGACATTGCGAGTCAGACCCTCGAGTGTAACCCAAAAGGGAAGCGGCGAGTGGGACGTCAGTACAGGGTGACATGCAGGAGATCGTATGAAGAGGAGTTGAAACAGTATGGAATAACATGGATGCAGGTGAAAAGTACGGCAGGAGACAGAAGCAAGTGGAGACGTGCAGTTGAAGCCCTATGTTCCACTAGGAACCCAAGGGAACAACAACAACAACAATAGATTAGTTTAATTGATATAACACGATGATACAATATCAGTAACTGGATTGTTCTCGACACATCATCCAGTTACATCAGATAAACTTATCTAGTATGGATGTGACCTTAACAACTAACTATTCGAATGACTGACCTTTGCTGGAGCCGACTGATAGCTGCTAATTTGACGAGGTGGTCGAGCTTGCATGCCTCAGTGACGCAATGATCAACACTGGCTGGAACGAATGTCCCAGCAGGTCTCTTGCCATGTCAGAAAGGTCGTTTAGGTGGCGCTTGAACTGAAAGCAGTTGCCATCATAGTGTAGTCATTCACGCTATGTTGGGAGTCTGTGGGGAAAATCGCACTGCTAAAGAATAGGAGAGTAACAGTAGTAATTTGCTTTCCTCAGATGACCAGCAATCCAGTAATGCTGTATTCATCAAAAACATCAGGAATCTTATTTCCCCTATAGAATTCACAAATGTATCACCTAGCGCCACTTTTACCACACTGCTATATTCAGGACACAACTGACGGTCTGCAAGAAAACTTTGTGAATCATTATATAAGGAAATAATGACACCATTCAGCTTGATATAATATTAATAAGACATGAGATTAGTGGTAGTGTGATTCCACAACAGAATAATAATTTTGTGTGATACAATACATAATGATGTGCTTTTTGAAACCACTTTATAGCCCATATTCATATCAAGGTGGCATTAAAATAAACTGACAGAATTCAGTTGAATCTACAAATACGTTTGATAATATTAGGTGGTTGGAGGTAATTGACAGGAGGCCTTCGACTTAGGTTTCGTGCTTGTTGGCCCTCACCAATCAGCAAGGCGTATCTGCAACCTTGAAGGAACTCGTGTCTCTTCTGAGATTCGAATCCGCGTCACGCAGTGACTGCTGCAGTCAGAGAGGTTACCACTGAGCAGCTGTTCGAGCTCGTGATTGACCTCCTGCCATCTAATACCATCAAGCTACCTAGAATGGTGGCCACATTGCACACTTGACTGATAGAATTCAGTCTGCACCAAAGAAAGGACTAGACACAACACACACTAGTTACTAGTGGCCAATCAAAAGTTCGATAATTTCCATATTCCTTGGGTATTATTGAACTACCGAAAAGTCTAAGAAGCACACCAAAATAAGCTGCATCGTTTTAGATGACAAATCAAAAATGTAACAGAAACAATGATACTACAATAGAAAATATGAAGCATAAGAGGGAGAACGCCTTGATGTGGATTAGTGAACACAACAGAAACTTCAAAGGTGGTAAGTTAAAACAATTGTATGAACATGAACGATTTTAAAGTTACGCAGGAAGAATCTTCAAAGGCTAATGCTTTGCATCTCGGAAATTTACCAATGAAACAACTTACAATTGTCACAGATTTCATAGACTGATGTAATATTTTTATAATGTGATTACGCTTAATTCGTATACAATCTAGTCCTACCTACAATAAAATCGCTTGTTGAGAATACACACAAATGGATTTCCTACCTCGCTGATTGAATCACACTCTATTTTAGCCCAAAATGTGTTATCTACATACTCTAAATTACCTAGCGCTTTATCTGGCAACAGATCGATACATATTCACTGACAGGAGTAACTTTAAATTGGATATCTCAAAAATTGGTAAGATTATATAAAAATAGTGAAACTGCGCACCTTTGACGGAAATCCCTAGTTGTCATCAATTCCTCTGACAACTCTTCATAAAGTTTACCATCACTGAATAAATTCTAGCGCTGCCTTCATTACTATAACATACTTTCTCAGGTCTCATCTAAGAGAGTTAACGATTGCTGCAACAGTTCTTGGTCTATAGAGCTGAGTGCTGCTTCCGGGCGGAGAAATATATCCGGTTTCGGAAACCGGTGTGTTTATGTTCTACATTCTGTCAAAGGATGAAGATCTGGTTGGTGCGCCGTCGTCCAGGCCTGAAACCCAGCTGGTTTCCACAGATGTTGTTCTCACACACGAACGTCTATCGACTCCAAAATCGTGAACATTGTAAGTTAAAGTGATTTTTCTGTTCATGTAATACTATATCCATGGGTGTATTGCTTTCTCAAGATTTTTACAAGATCGTAGGTATTACAACTGAATGCAGAAGTGATACGGCATAATGCGTAGCTTGATAGTAGGGGAGATTTAGATCCAAAGTATGATTAATGCATTTTATTCCTTAAAAGGGGTACACTGTGAAACACCAACAACCACTACAATGATCTCAATGACGTGAAAGTCATAAATAATGAATTTAAAATGCTTCTGTTATCTGATGGTCTGTCCATAAGGCTAAGAAACCATAATCCTGTTAGCTAAATATACTGCTGCACTGCATATCTGCTTAATGAAGAGATAAATGCAGTTATTTAATGACTGACTGACTGACTGGTTTCAACATAGAACTTTGCACCGATGTGCAGCAGTTCGAGTCGCCACACTCGCTCCTTATAGCACACAAAGCGAGAGAAAAAAGTAGAAGAAATGTATAATAGAGACAGCAAACAGAGGTGTGAGACAAAGGAATAGTAATAACGAATAACAAAACAGTTTCATTGGGTATTATAAGTCACAAGGAGTGGATGCATATGTGCCACCCATTGAGAACGATTTTCAGCCATGTCACCAATTGTCTCCTCTCTTCATTGGTTTTTACCCTCAGGAGGACCTCAACCAGGAAGTCTACACCTTCCTACGTGGTTGGCTGGCTTAAAATAACTGTTGTGGATTTCATTGACTGATGAAGCCATGTTTTAGTTTGACCAGCGCTGGCTCTTTTACAACCTGACCCTATGTCAGCGAACACTGCGCGTCGGTCGAGGAAGGCGATGGCTAGGCATGCATGCGTAACATATATCCTAAACATTTCAGTCGATGTAACTTCACAGCCTCTTCGATCAACTTCCGCTCCTTATCTAGCACTCGACCGACGCCTAACCTCAATATTGCTCACCTTATTATACCACCTAACACGGGATGTAGATAGAACGCAAGAACCTATGATCAAAGAAAACTAGACTGCCTTTTCGTGTCCTCTACTTGCAATGGCTAGGTCTCACAGCCATAAAGCAGGACAGACTGGACTGCTGAGGAGTACACACGCCCTTTGGTCGATAGCTAGCCGGATATTGCGTCTACGCCAGAGACGGCGTACACTGGCATAAGTGAAACTAGCCTTCTATATCCATGCTGAGATTTCGTCAGCGATCAACCCGTTGGGGCTGATGCAACTTCCCAAATAAGTGAATCGGTCAACGTGCTCTACCACTTCACTCCCTATTTCTAAGCTAGGAGTCAATGTAGTCTAGTTCTGTAGCATGATCTTACATTTGACAGGAGCGGGAGAATCACATGCCAAACATCCGGACAACGCTGCTGCTCCAAGTGTTCAGAAGACTCTGCATCTTGTCAGTCAGCATCTTCACCCAGGAGAGAGGACTATATCATCTCCATATTCTAAGTGAACGAGCTTATTCCCTGTCGGTAACAAGTCAATCCCTGAGAATGACTACTTGAAATCAGTCAGGTGTTATTTTAATGGGTAACATATAGTTTGAAAGTGAAAATCTTAAATTAATTAATTGCACTTCTACAAGTAAGTAGTACACTAAAATGAAGACGGAAAGTAAGTACCTTTTGGTTTTTCAGGTATCTCATGAAAAGCTTCTTTAACAGAAAGAGTCGGTGGTTCGTTCGTGATATTTTCCTTTGAATCTTCCAATATAGTTTCTTCACAAAGAAGAGTAGGTTCTTTGTTTAATTTCTCACGTTCTTGAATGCGAAGAATGAAATCTTTCATTCCCGGTGGTGTTTTCGGTCTGATAAAGTTTTCTCTGACACGAATTGGCTTGAAAATAGGCAAACCAGTGCAGCAATTCTCATCTAACAAAAAATGATAAAAAGGGACACAAATTACTTAAATTTTTCTAATCTATCTTACTAGAATTTAGAAATAATCAAATTAGTGACATATTTGGATGACAAACAAAACAACTAGTTAGTAGGAAATGCAATTGAGTAATAAAGGTAGACTTTGAGTCATACATTTAAGGGATAAGCTCTAATTTCAAGGACCAGTATTAAGAAACCTGAGGTTCTTCATTATGCTTTAGGTCATTAGTTAGCAACCTCAAGGATTGAACGCAAGCATTACTGTCTAGGTAATTAAAACATTTCTAAGTAAGTAAATTTAAGCAACGGGTTAATGAATGAATTAATAACCCCAAACTGTAGCTTGCAACAGTTAAAACTGTAAAGTGGAATAGATTTTTCGTGTAACAGGCCATAAGCCAATTATTGTACTGGTTAATGATACCGCCCCAAGGCTGAGGTGGATACACAAGGATTCGAACTCGGGATCCAATACATGAAAAATAAATGCTATAACCAATGAGAAATATCTTGGTAATGGTCAGCTAATTTACTAATTTTCTAGCCGGTCCTAAGCTGGGGAAAAAGAGAGGTTCGGCGTGTGGCTAGCGACTCTACCACGGACAATCAATCCAATAGCTACAGAAACCTTAAATCATAGATAAAACATAAAAAACAAACATATTCTTCGCTGTAATCGGGAACGAAATGACGCAGGCCGGTGAAAGCCTTCGGGAAGCTACCCACTCACCCAATGTGTCTTCCTTCGACGAAAGCAAAAATAAGCGTACGGACATGAAATGTTCGCATGATGTTTAAAGTTGGCTGGCGAGGCTGATAAGATTGCAAAAGAGATGAGAAGATATGCTATAGGGGTGCTAGGAATCTGTGAGAGAAGGTGGAATGGGAGTGGATTCTCCAGATTGTTAACTGGAGAGTCAATAACCTATTCCGGTCATGCAAATGACAACCACGAACATACCAAGAGAGTGGCTATCATGACTTTACCAACAGCATCCAAAGCTCTTATACACTGGGAAGCAATTTCCTCCTGCAGGATAGTGACAGTGAGATTCAATTCAAAAGCTAGGAAAGCTTCAATTAACCAAAAAGCAGACTTCATTTCAATCTCAAAGTAAGATTGAAAGACAACTAAGAAGTCGGTAATTCACCACATTTCAAGTTCAACACTCGTAAACTGAAAGAAAAAGTTGTAAAAGAGACCTTTACTGGAGTTATCAGGAAAAAGCCAAACACATTGTGCAGCATCACGGAGGAAACTTACGTGGAGAAGCACTGAATCTCTGAAAACTATATGAAAGGAAATCTGCATATCCATGTTAGGAAGAAAGAAGAGGAAAGACAAGGAATGGTTCAATAGGGACATGTGGATGCCAACAGAGAGAGGAGTGGTGAGTTAGATGAACCAGTGCAGAGGTGAACAACGAAAGAACAGGACTTCAATCTACAGAGAGCTGAAAAAAGAAGTGAAAACTGTGAGGAAAGATAATTTTTAAAAACACACCGGCAACTGAAGCACAACATGCAGCAGGTAAAAGAGATCACAGAATACTTAATTACCAAAGAGAGGAAACAAAAGGGAATTATGTACCCATGATTTCATAGGACTCTGAGATCACCCATCACCTGCAACTCGTCCAGAAACGCCATCAACTTTCACAGAACTGCAATTGAGCACCCATTCCCCGCCAGAAGCGGAAGTCCTGAAGGCCTTAAAGCCACTAAAAGCGAGCTGAGAAGGCAGTAGAGCCGGACTGAACATGCATCCAGAGACGACAGCAGATAAGTTCACGGCACTACAGCAGGTTTCCAAAGAAAGAAAGGTGCTTACCGATTGAAAGAAAGGTTACCTTTTCAAACTATCAAAGAAGGGCAGCCTAAGCCTCTGCAAGAACGGGTGTGCAATCACCGTCCTGTCCACGCCAAGCAAAATATTGAGCCGTATCATTTTTGACACATGTGCGAAACTCCGCCCGGAAAAGGCTGGATTCTGAGCAACAAATCAAGGGCGAATTAAACTGCAACGCCACATATTATCATCGAAGAGATTATAGAATGGCAGTCAAATCTCCAACCCAACTCCGTACACATTGAGGAAGCGCTTTAATATCGTCGAGTAATTTGAAAACTGCTTCAACACTACGGAGTACCCTAAACCTCACTTAGCAACTATTCGACAGTGCCACATGTACAGTAATCCAAAACGGAAAAGTCAGAGAAGCCTTTGGAATGAAGACAGGAGTAAGACAAGGCTGCCTACCATCGCCAATGATATTCCTGAGTGTGATGGACTGGATTACGCAACAGACTGAGTAGTGAGAAGACAGGAATACGTCATGACGATAAGAAGACGCTAGAAGGTCTGAATTTCGCGCACAACTTTTTTTTGACGTAACACGAACTTGAAGATCGATATGTGGAAATAAACAAGTAGGCAGAGGAGGTAGTGATAACCGAACTCCAAGTGAACAGAGAGAAAACAGAGGTGATGAAGGTACCCAACCAACAGCAAGCACTATCAATAGACTTTTGAAGGAAGTCACTTCTTTCACTTATCTAGGCAGCATAGTTCCAACCACAGGCACTTGGCACATATGAGGATACCAAAGGTGGGATCCGTACACAAGACAGACCACCATTAATCTGAAATCGGTGCAGAAATCTGCTGCACTCAGCAGAAGGAAAATCCGGATTTTCAACACTTGGAGTCTTACCTAAAGCACTTCCAGCAGCTTGTTGCAGACTTTCACCAACAGCTACTCCCGGTGCATACTGAAGATAAGGTGACTGTCCAGAAAGGATACACAACAAAGAACTCTGGTAACGAATCAAACAAGATCTCGTGATTCAACAAATATTCTAAAATACTGATGGATTGGACATGCTTTGCGTGACATTATGCGCCAAGTTCTCGAATAGAACCCGAATGAGAAACAACGAATAAGCGTCTGGGGTGATATCGAGACCGTTTGAGGAGGAATTGTGAGACCAGCATACAAAGACTACAGATAAGAGAATGAGATGATAACATGATACTGAAGTCCTATGTTTCTATGGGAACCCAAGGAAATAATAATCCGCCAATCTAACTCGAAAAAAATACCATCCCAAATAAAAAATTTGGGGCAATTCAATCCAAACATCTTGGGTAAATGATGCATTCCCCTCCAAAAGGGAACCCAAAATTTCCTCAGAAAAACCCTAAAAATTCACAAACCACGAAAAAATCTAAACACCTCTAAATCTGCCCCAAATTTCCCCCCATAAAAACCCACATTTTTATTTGGGATATGTAAATAAAACATGATCAAAAACATCGAAAAGACTCACCAGACATATTGGGCTGAATATTGCATTGTCGCGGGGAATTTTCACTGTCTACTGGTGTAAACAGATCAAGAATTTCACAGTCATCAGAATAGGCTGTCTCAGAAGCTTTCATCTGAAGGCATATAACCATTATAAGATATTCATACTACCTTCATCATTTTGGATGCTTTTACCCATCCTGGGGATACTAACGGAATGTTCCTCTTGAGAGCCCAACTTTTAACGGCTTCAGATCCATTACGAAATATAACGTGCGTAACAAGATGGTTTAGTGTATGTGACACCCTGGCACCCAGAGATTCAAGAGTTGCCCCAAGACCAATAGCTGGATTCCCTAACGCAGATCTGACGTCAATGTATGCCACAACTCCTAATGAGTAAAATAATCCACACAAAGAAATTACCTTTCAAAACGGCTCCCATCAGTGACCTTAAGAACCGAATATAGCACAGAAAATTGCGATATGTCATAACAACGAGTTTAAACAGTTGCTATTAACTCAAATATTCACAGATTTAGGCACAATTTTTGCGGTTTCACTGTCTCTGTTAGATTATTTCAGTCAGTCCTACTGCTCAGTAAGCTTGTATGCTCCACTACTCAACAACGTTCCAAATTACAAATAATTTGTGACGTCCCTTTATGAACGTTTTGGTTTTTTGGAATATTTATAAGATTTAGGCAGATTTCAGAACACAAAAGCTATGCCATAAACTATTGCAGCTTTACAGTGTCAAGCTTCCTGCGTATAATCAATTTCACATTGAATTCCTGTGTTATTAGATGTGGTCATCAAGCCAACTTTCCAGTACCTTTGATATTGTTAGTAGTGTTGTTAAATGCCTCTAGTGGCTGCTATTCTGCTCTCCTTGGGAATATTAAACAAGACACGTCTGTACTTCTTCAGAGTTTGTTGATCACATCATAAGTGCTAAAACAGATAGATGGATTTTAAGTACAGTATTAAGAAACTTGTGGATTGATGTCGTTGGATTCTAGGTATTTTTCTGAGTGAAGCTTATCTGCTTTCCCCAGAACCATAATCAGAGTTATCTAAACAAAAACAGTTCATATGAATTCGTGCTACGTTATAGTTTCCCAAGGCAGACGCATAGAATTCGCTTCCTTGTTTCTTCACTCTCTATGGAATGTATCGCTAAATATTACTGGTAAACAGTAAATTGGCTTCTGACGAAACTGGCTTATTGACCACTTCATTTCTGCTCAGCTGTGAATCTATAAGTATGCTTTCAGTTGACTTACAGTCTCCACTCTTGCAATGAGTCCTAATTTCACAGACTTTAATTATAACAGGCTCTTATTTCGGTCAAAAAAGGACGGCTGTTAGGTCCTTAATAGCCAAAGAACATGATAAAAGTGCTTGGGTCATACACTCAATGGTTAGTCGTGTACGGATATGGAAGGACTAGAGCAGTCACCAGGTAGAAATAACACTGTTACTATTTGTGATCTTGATGAATATGCAGTGTTCCTGTATTAGCTCTAACTGAATGCCAATGAAACTTATTCACTTACCCGTATTGTGCTGTTACGGAAAATAATTTACTCATGCATACCGAATATCTGAAATTGAATAAGTGATTAGTTTTCCATCGTTTCATATATCCCTCGTGAGTTTAGAGAAGTTTACCTTTGTTTTGCGTACATCGAAGCCCCAGCGTGATAGCAGTAGATTTTTTTCAAGTTTTCACTCGTACATTCAATGCAAAGTTGTTGATGTTTCGCTGTGAACAGAGTTGAGTACATTGTAGAGTGTGAAGACATAGGTGTATTAAAGCATAACAATCGAAGTCAACTTATTTGCGCAACAAATGGCCTTCTGTGAGTTTCCTGTTCATTAGCGCGCTTACGAAACACGCATTTCACAATACCCGATGTCTTCTCACTTCATTTGCACCATTTGTCAGCACGTGAGTTGTTTGTGAAAATGCCAACAATTAATCTCCGGGATTCAGCTTTAAACACACTCAATTTCCGCAGGACTTAGTCGTATTGTTCATGCTGTGGACCTACCAAACCCATCGCGGCAATGTCAGACGAGGAATTCATGCTTATGTCTATGTTCTCCTTTGGAACGAAACCTCAGTCGTGGTCTCACTGAATAAAAACACTTACCAACATAAGGAAATTGAGTCGCTTTCTGGATCGTTTAGGTGTGTTGAAAGAGAACTCTTCATCTACCTGGAACCTGTCTGCATCGAAAAAGCATCTCAGAGTGGCATTGTTGCAAACCCCCGTTATTTGCAGCATCGTCTTCCGTCGCTGTAGTGGTTAAATGACAAGTTATTTTATATATGCATTCTAAATGAAAATTTGAATGAAGAAAAGTTTGTGACCTGCATAATATTGGAGGCATAATGCACTCTAACTGCGTTACATTTGCTGCCCTTGTGTCAGGAAACATCGCTTGATACTGGAATATGCGCAATACAATAGATAAAACGAGGCACGAAGTTCAAAATCTAAACGTATATTTTCGGTTTTCATAAAACCATGCTATTTTATCTGGCCGATTTGATGAAATGTCAGTCTTAATAGGTTTGTTAGTTGTAAGCATTCAAGGCGTAATTTCGGCATTAGTTTCAGTTTTCACTCACTCTTCAGTCTGCTTTTCATCTAAAGCATTAAGAGCATGAGTACACTGTGTGGCTTTGTTGTGAACTTACTTTTCAAGTGGTCTTTAATTTCGGGAAGGACTTAATCGCTATAATATTCCGATTTCATAAACACAACTAAGGTTCATACGTGAATGGAGGTTACTGGCTCAGTTGGAATAAGGACAAGTTGTTCAGGAGGTTAGGGAGACTGCATTTCTAGGTTCATTCGTGTGGATACTATTGCGCATTGAGTTGCACTAAAACTTTACATGAAGCGGAAGATTTTGAATGCCTTGCTCCTCTCTTCAGTATAAGAAAGCTGATAACACAGGAGTTATCCCACAAAATTCCCTATATTAAGTTCACTAAGGACGAACAGAACTTCCACTTCAGTGTTATGAGCTAAGCTGTCAACTGTGTAGGCCCGTACAGTAATACATTTGGCGTGGGGATTTCATGGTTAAATCAAAGGTGTATATGTTTCACTAAATCTTATGCACTTCCTGTATGGATTTGATGTTCGTCAGGTGGTCATTTAACAACTTTTGAACGTTGCAATCAAGCTATGTTATGACTCGTAATTCCAAGAATTGTTGTTACTTTTATTCGCATCAGTTCACAATTTGTTGGGTGTACACAAACACGAAGTCCATTTCTCACTTTACTAAGGAAACATTAATAAAATTTTTTGAGAAGTAGTACTCCAGTTTGTGAATTTCATGATTTATGCACATTGCACTGTGTTCACTTAATACCGAAACTAAACTATTGGGGGACTTGTGTTTCCAATAGGGGTGTATTACAAGGCTCATTTCTGCAGCTGTGTTCCTTATATCAGTTTAATTTCATCACACATATTGATAGGATTGCCTGTCACTGACTTTGGGGACTTACCAGGTAACAACCCCGTCAACTTAGAATATGCTGATGACATTGTCAAGCTAGGTTGTGAGAAGATATGCAAAGACTGACGGCGTTTGATCTTAGGTGTCTGTGCTCCATCACCTATGTTAAGTAGTACAATATGGTGAGTAATATTTGCGTTAGGTGTATAATGTTAGGTAGAGATGTGACTCGAAGTGGTTATTAATAACATTCACATCACTCTGTGTAATCTTACATATCTAACAAAGAATTATGCTTTTTCCTTCTCACTATTCATTCCCCTTCACACTTGTCCTCATTATGGATCCATTTAACTTATTTTTACTCTACTCTAATGTACTTCATTGAATTTGGTAACTTATACAAGTGTGCTTGTGTGCAAGCTTCTATTTTGATAGTCAGTCAGTCAAAACGACAAATATTCCAGACATAACAAAATGTTAGCAAGTGGATAATAATCTCGAAATTGTCAGCAAATGATAATCACATTTGTTCATCTGGCTCCTCGGAATATGCGAAAGGGTCATTTTACAATAATCCCTGCTGCTACATGGGATAAATTTCCCACTTTGCTAGTCTCTTCATATCGCATGAGATGGTTTATTTTATCCCATAGCCCAGATACTCAGTTGAAGCATATCTGATGAAATATTTCTCGCTTATTGCCGACTGCAAATAATGTTTTTGAGTGTGTAATATAGCAACTTGAACTGTTAAACTTCTGTGCTTTATTCTACGTTGCTGCATCTGCCAAGTGTTACTTTGTTTGGACAATTAATAATACCGTTTCCTAAGCACTGTATGCATTTCTCCAATTCCTTTAATTGTCCAGATAAAGTGCAACGAAGAAGAAACCATGAGCCAAAAGCTATTAACATGGAAATAAGAAATAGTAAGGGTCGAAGTGAATGAAATGAATGACATTTTGTTGTCAATAACAATAACAATAATTTGCTTTATTCCAAAACAGTACTTGTGATACAGAATGGAATTCTCAGCATTTTTACTACAGTATTGCATCCAGTTAGTACATTATCAATAAATAGAATTCTACATAGATTGAGGAAACCACAGTTCATTATTACAACAACACATTGGCATGTCGGTAGCAAAGGTAAAGCTGAACAGTGTTTGAAGGTGTTAGAAAAGTGGGAGCTGTCTTATTAACTGGCGTAAGCGAGAGAAAGAGACAAAGCAGCACATAACGGAAAAAGAAGAGAGAGAAAAGGAAAAGAAAGAAAGAAAATGTTGTATCTGTTGATGATGTGAGTTGGAAAGACGAGATCCAGTTGTACTACTGACTATTTAATGAATTATAGGTGTCGCGCCTAATGCTTTCTTTATCACACAGAACGCGAGCTAAGTAGGGTATGGTTGAGTTTTTGTACTTGCTGGTGCGAGCATATAGTTTTCTATATTGGCTTCTGGTCCTACCTGATGAGATACAGGGGGAGAGTTTTGAGTGAAGAGGGTGGTGTGAGCTAGATAAAATGGATTTGGCCCATTTTTCACATGAGTCCATGTGCCTGTCAACCAGAATATTAACAAGCTGGTTAAGTGGCACGTTGCTTACCCTGCTGACAACATTTAACATCCTGCGTAATATGTTATAGTCTTTCTTCAGTAGCCCGGGAAAAACTAAGGGGGAACAATAGAGAATAATAGGCAGGATGCGAGAATTAACGAATTGTAGGAGTAAGGGTTGGGTAATACCAGAATGTTTTAACTTCTTAATGTAGAAGGTAAGACGGAATATTTTCCTAGAAATTGCTAAGATATGAGACGACCAGGAGAGATCAGCAGATAGAATGACGCCTAGGTATTTAATTTCCGATTTAGTTTCTATTTCAGTGCCGCCTATGTTGCATACCTCATGAGAGCCAAACAGTTTGTTTAGGTCGGATTTATGCCTAAAGATGAAATTGACTGTTTGGCATTTGGAGGGGTTTAGAGTAAGAACATTTTCCTTGGACCACTGGCTGATTTCTGACAGAAAGCCATTAAGT